AAAAAAAAAAAAAAGCCTACTTCATTGACAACTCCATTTAAGCATTTATGGTAGACTCTGATGTACGGTTCAATGCTGCCAACTTCATCTTCTTCACCACTAATTTCAAAGTATCCTCGGACATCCGTATGAGTACTGGCAAGACTGTCGTCAGGATCAACTAAAATATACATTTAAATTTCATTTTTTTTTTTTTTGAGAAAGTTGTTTTTTTTAAGGCTTAAAAGAACCACCGTTTAGAAAGGTTGATTATGTGATAAAGTAGTGATTAAAACAATTTTTTATAAACCCGACTAAAACCAAAATAAAAAAAAGCTAATTTGTTTAATAAAAACCAAAAAAAAAACTTGATTTCTTTTGCTATCTATCTTAATATTTGAATTATTCACTTTCAAACTGTTAATTATTGTTTTCAAATTTTAATTGTTTTAATTTATTTTAAAAAAAAAAAAGAAAAAAAACTTATTACTATAAATTTCTAAAATTTATTAAACATTAGTAGAGTTTTGATACTGTTATCTTTTTATAGTCATTAATATTTTAGATAAAAATAACAAGGGAAATTCTTTTTTTTTTTTTTTTTTTGCAACTAACAAGTATCTGCTTCACGAAGTTCAACCAAAACTTTTTCAGCAATTCGTCTATCACAGCCGACACGTCCCTTAGCAGTTATTGTTTGTCGTTTGGCATAGCAAATTACTGCCGTAAATAGGACAAGAAGGAATATTTTTGGAAACATTATGACAATTCTTGTCTAAAATTCAAATTAGTTTTTAGCCCAAATTAACTTTGCAACTATGTATGTTAACTTTTACTTTTATTTTTTTCTTAAACTACACAAAAATCTTGCAAATATACAAAATTGACAGAAACAGAAGACAATAATTTGTTCACTTAAGTGATATCAGATCAAATTTCAGTGTAAACTATTGAAGTTTTGCAGAAAATCTGTTGTAAAACTTTAGTGCTTTCAAGAAATGAAAAAAGAGAAAGCTAATCATTGAATTATTTGTTTGACACGTTAAAAAATAAAGAAATCGTTAGGCAAACTCTGAACAGTAACAGAGAATATATAACGATGTATAACGATGATAACTAATTTAAAATCAGATAGATCTTTGGTAAAACTACTGTAATACATTATTTTTGATTCAGATGAGTGACAGTGAACAATGGCTCAAAAATTTGTCGTTATAAAAAAGGGGCAGCATAAAAGGATAATGTTTTTGCCTCAAATATTGCAGATCCAGAAATAAACAATGAAGAATTTGATTCCAATCAGCCTATTTTATAAAAATTGTAAAAAAAAAGTTTTTTAATCTTTTAAAATGATGAGTCATTAAAAGTCACTTAAGCTTTTTGACCAGAGGATGAGCAACGCGAACAGTTGTAAGCAAAAACAACAATATTTTCAGACTAAAACATACAGCAAAATAAGCTTTTAAAATTAGTTATTAAAAAAAAATTTTTTTTTTGGCAAAACGCTAACGGAAACTAGCAAATACATCCACACCAAAACAGATAAACCCGATTGCTAATAAGATCCTGACAAATTTTATTCAGAATGCTAATGAGCAACAACAAGAACAAAAAAAAGAATAAATTTCTCATACTTGTTTCTTCTTCTTTTCTTCTTCTTCTTCTTCTACTTCACTATACAACAGTTGATTAATTGTAAATTAAAAAATCTTTTGTAACTTTCTTTTTGCCTTTTCGCTGAAATTACAAAGACTGATTAATAGGTGGATAGCAGCAAATCGTCAGCTGTTTAGCTGTCTTGAAAAATGTTGTCTCGACGTCTGAAACCAAACGAGGAGAGTACGAATGGAGCGGCGGACGGAGGAAACGATGAGCACAACTAGAAACCAATTTTTTTCTTTGCTATCTCTAAAAGATCAATCAACCAAATCGGTTGTTGTCAGTTAAGTCAGTTTGAGCAGCGAATATTATTCGCTGTAAACAACAGCAACCATACAATTTTGTTGTATTTTTTTTTTCTCCAACAACAGATAAACCAAAACTGTTAAATATCTCTAAAAGGCAAAAAAAAAAAAAAAAAAAAACTGACAAGTTTTATGGGGAAAAAAGGTGAAAAACAAAAACAAATTATTAGGTTTGACATGTTGTATAAGCACATGTGCAATTTATCATCAACAAAATCTTCTTTCATATCGTGTTTCCTCTTTTTCTGCTGTTATTATTGTTGTTTTAACGGTTGCCTATATCAAAGCAAATTCTCAATTAGCAAAACCACTGTTGTTGTTGTTGTTGTTGTTGCTGCTGTTGTAAGCTTTATCTGCTTATCACCTTCTCAGAACTATCTATCAGCAACAGCAAACAAACAAAATTTCCAATACTATTTTGTCTTCTCTTCTTATCAAAAAAACCCAAAAAAAATGTGTAACTTTTATTCTCTCATTACACAATTGAACAACAAAATCCTTCTTCTTTAATGTTATTGTCGACACAAAACTGTCTTATCCATTCATATTGCAAAGAGAAAAAGTTAGCGGTGAAGAATTTTTTTTTAATATAATGAGGTGATCACATAAACGTTACATTTAAACTTCTAAACAAACTGTTACTGTTCGCCTGAACAGTTTAATCTGTCAGATGTTAAAAAAAGCTCGTAAATGTTGCTTTAGAACGACCAGGTTTTTTTTAGCAGCCAACATGCATTTGGCGTAAACCGTCAATTTAATTCGTGAAGAAGTGAACAATGCTTTTTTTTGAGTGTTAAAAAGTTCCAAATTTAGTGGTGATTCTGCTCTTGCTGTTGTTGTTCTGCTGCTGCCGCTGGTGCTCTTCCTGTTGGTGCTGCAGCTTCTGCTGCTGCTGAGGCTGCTGTTGCAGATGCTTTGCCACTCCTGTTGCTGTGCCACTACTGCTGTTGCCGCTGGTGCTCTTCCTGTTGGTACTGCTGTTTCTGCTGTTGCTGAGGCTTTGCTGCTCCCGTTGCTGTGATACTACTGCTGTTGCCGCTGATGCTCTTCCCGTTGGTACTGCTGCTGCATCTGATGTTTTAAAATCGATAATTACTTTTGTACGGAAAAGACATTTTAACACGAAAAAAAAAAAAAAAAAAGGAACGGTAAATTACCTAAACAATTTTTATATTTTTTATTTGTTGCGAAAAAGATGAAAACTAGAAAATCATGCAAAGTTTTTTTTTGCTTCAAAGTTGTCTATTGCCTTATAATATATTTACGGCAATGAAAAACAATTCTGTATTTTTTTTTTTT